CACTAGCATTACCAGGAATGTGCTTGCTGTTCGTCCTTGGCGGTTCAATTAGTTCCATGTACAAGAAGGACCATATCTTGTTGTTGAGAAGATACTGTCAGCTTCTTTTTCGTACGTTGAAAAATACAACTTTGTTTACTGTACCATATCGTGACAGATCTCTGCACCTTCGCAATTTTCTATCGTTTTTCAGCTGGCAAAATGCCGGCGCCGTGCCCTCGCAGCTCACATGAATTTTTCCGCTCACTTTTCCAAAAGAAAAGAGAAGAAAGGCAATAAACGTTAATTTATTGACAAGCCACAAACACTTTTATCAACCAAGTCTTCCTAATCACATCCACTGCAATTCATAAGCTGGATCATCCACTGGTTTCAAAGGTGCTGGCTTTGTTACCGGGATATCTTTGTCTGAAAAAAAAACCATCAGCCATTCGCGGTACAAGTCAAGAATTAAAGTACATTTGAATTCAGTTGATCCATCTGCATTAGTAGTTTTGCACAGAACATTCATCATATCCTCGCCGATAACTTCCTCCATGCGCCGATACTAAATGACAGTTATTTGGGAAGAAAAACGCTTAAAAGCGCAGATCTCGATTGCAGTGTCACTTTTGCGTGCCGCGACGCACATGCAGCGCGAGGGTTTCGCGTACCCGCTTCGATCGATAGGGTTGATTTGACAGCTCGAACAGCGAAGTAGGTAAGCTGTTCAAAAGGGACACTGCAATTGAAACGCACTGTGAGCCAAAAAGTCTACAAATAGTAACCTCATTTATAGCCGATTTCATCGACTTGCGTTTTAATCTCAATATGAATCTTTCCCAACCGCCCGCGAATTCATATTTTGTCTCCACAAGTTTTTCATCGTTTAGGAAACGTATCATTTCTTGTGTTGTCTGAAAAATTGGTCTAGAGTATTAGGTTTGCTCTGGTCAAACTTACCTTGATAGCAAAATCATCGTCCTCTCTATCGTGAATAGCAGTCGCTCCTCCTACCGTAGTAGTGCCTCCGGCTACAGTGGTTTGATATTGATCCTAAGAAATCAAAAATGTCACAGTAAGAACAACGACTTCTCGTTCCTGT